CACCCAGACACTCACCCAGACACTCACCCAGACACTCACCATCCACTCACCCAGACACTCACCCAGACACTCACCCAGACACTCACCCATCCACTCACCCACTCACCCAGACACTCACCCAGACACTCACCCAGACACTCACCCAGACACTCACCCAGACACTCACCAGACACTCACCCAGACACTCACCATCCACTCACCCAGACACTCACCCAGACACTCACCCAGACACTCACCCATCCACTCACCCAGACACTCACCCAGACACTCACCCACTCACCCAGACACTCACCCAGACACTCACCCAGACACTCACCATCCACTCACCCAGACACTCACCATCCACTCACCCAGACACTCACCATCCACTCACCCAGACACTCACCCAGACACTCACCCGACACTCACCATCCACTCACCCAGACACTCACGCAGACACTCACCATCCACTCACCCAGACACTCACCCAGACACTCACCCAGTCACTCACCCAGACACTCACCCAGACACTCACATCCACTCACCCAGACACTCACCCAGACACTCACCCAGACACTCACCATCCACTCACCCAGACACTCACCCAGACATTCACCATCCACTCACCCAGACATCACCATCCACTCACCCAGACACTCACCCAGACACTCACCCAGACACTCACCCACTCACCCAGACACTCACCCAGACACTCACCCAGACACTCACCCAGACACTCACCCATCCACTCACCCATCCACTCACCCAGACACTCACCCATCCACTCACCCATCCACTCACCCAGACACTCACCCAGACACTCACCCAGACACTCACCCAGACACTCACCCAGACACTCACCATCCACACCATCCACTCACCCAGCACTCACCAGCACTCCCCAGACACTCACCCAGACACTCACCCAGACTCACCCATCCACTCACCCAGACACTCACCCAGACACTCACCCATCCACTCACCCAGCCACTCACCCATCCACTCACCCATCCACTCACCCAGACACTCACCCAGACACTCACCATCCACTCACCCAGACACTCACCCAGACACTCACCATCCACTCACCCAGACACTCACCATCCACTCACCCAGACACTCACCCAGACACTCACCCAGACACTCACCATCCACTCACCCAGACACTCACGCAGACACTCACCATCCACTCACCCAGACACTCACCCAGACACTACCCAGACACTCACCCAGACACTCACCCAGACACTCACCATCCACTCACCCAGACACTCACCCAGACACTCACCATCCACTCACCCAGACACTCACCCACTCACCCACACTCACCCAGACATTCACCATCCACTCACCCAGACACTCACCATCACGCACCCAGACACTCACCCACTCACCCAGACACTCACCCACTCACCCAGACACTCACCCAGACACTCACCCAGACACTCACCCGACCTCACCATCCACTCACCCAGACACTCACCCAGACACTCACCCAGACACCACCCAGACACTCACCCAGACACTCACCCAGACACTCACCATCCACTCACCCAGACACTCACCATCCACTCACCCAGACACTCACCCAGACACTCACCACCAGAAGCTGGAGATCAGCACTCACCACAAGCGCCAGACAGAGCTCCGCGCTCACCACCTCCATCGATGAGCCACTCGCCTCCCCACTCACCCAGACACTCACCCAGACACTCACCATCCACTCACCAGACACTCAACCCAGACACTCACCATCCACTCACCCAGACACTCACCCAGACACTCACCCAGACACTCACCATCCACTCACCCAGACACTCACCCAGACACTCACCCAGACACTCACCCATCCACTCACCCAGACACTCACCCAGACACTCACCATCCACTCACCCAGACACTCACCATCCAATCACACCAGACACTCACCCAGACACTCATCATCCACTCACCCAGACACTCACCCAGACACTCACCATCCACTCACCCAGACACTCACCCAGACACTCACCCCAGAAGCTGGAGATCAGCAGTCACACAAGCTCCAGACAGAGCTCACCGCGCTCACCACTCCATCGGTGAGCCACTCGCCTCCCCACTCACACCACCACTCACCCAGACACTCACCCAGACACTCACCCATCCACTCACCCAGACACTCACCCAGACACTCACCCAGACACTCACCCATCCACTCACCCAGACACTCACCCAGACACTCACCCAGACCACTCACCAGACACTCACCCCTCACCCAGACACTCACCCAGACACTCACGCAGACACTCACCCAGACACTCACCCATCCAACTCACCCAGACCACTCACCCAGACAATCACCCAGACACTCACCATCCCACTCACCATCCACTCACCCAGACACTCACCCAGACACTCACCACTCCACTCACCCAGACACTCACCATCCACTCACCCAGACACTCACCAGACACTCACCATCCACTCACCAGGACACTCACCCAGACACTCACCCCGACACTCACCAGACACTCACCCACTCACCCCAGACACTCACCCCAGACACTCACCCAGACCACTCACCCAGACACTCACCCAGACACTCACCATCACTCACCCAGGACACTCACCATCCACTCACCCAGACACTCACCATCCACTCACCCAGACACTCACCCAGACACTCACCCAGACCATCACCATCCACTCACCCAGACACTCACGCAGACACTCACCATCCACTCACCAGACACTCACCCGACACTCACCCAGACACTCACCCCAGACACTCACCCAGACACTCACCCATCCACTCACCCAGACACTCACCCAGAACTCACCCCAGACCACTCACCATCCACTCACCCAGACACTCACCAGACACTCACCATCCACTCACCCAGACACTCCCCATCCACTCACCCAGACACTCACCAGACACTCACCAGACACTCACCATCACTCCACCCAGACACTCACCAGACACTCACCCAGACACTCACCCATCCACCACCCAGACACTCACCCAGACACTCACCCACTCACCCCGGACACTCACCCAGACTCTCACCCAGACACTCACCCCAGACCACTCACCCACTCACCCAGACACTCACCCAGACACTCACCCAGACACTCACCCAGACACTCACCCAGACACTCACCATCCACTCACCAGGACACTCAACCCAGACACTCACCATCCACTCACCCAGACACTCACCATCCACTCACCCAGACACTCACCCAGACACTCACCCAGACACTCACCCAGACATTCACCATCCACTCACCCAGACACCCAGACACTCACCATCCACTCACCCAGACACTCACCATCCACTCACCCAGACACTCACCCAGACACTCACCATCCACTCACCCAGACACTCACCCAGACACTCACCCAGACACTCACCCATCCACTCACCCAGACACTCACCCAGACACTCACCATCCACTCACCCAAACACTCACCATCCACTCACCCAGACACTCACCCAGACACTCACCACCAGAAGCTGGAGATCAGCACTCACCACAAGCGCCAGACAGAGCTCGCCGCGCTCACCACCTCCATCGATGAGCCACTCGCCTCCCCCTCACCCAGACACTCACCCATCCACTCACCCAGACACTCACCATCCACTCACCCAGACACTCACCCAGACACTCACCATCCACTCACCCAGACACTCACCCAGACACTCACCATCCACTCACCCAGACACTCACCCAGACACTCACCACAGACACTCACCATCCACTCACCAGACACTCACCCAGACACTCACCCAGACACTCCCCATCCCACTCACCCAGACACTCACCCAGACACTCACCATCCACCCACCGACACTCACCATCCACTCACCCGACACTCACCCAGACACTCATCATCCACTCACCCAGACACTCACCCAGACACTCACCATCCACTCACCCAGACACTCACCCAGACACTCACCACCAGAAGCTGGAGATCAGCAGTCACCACAAGCTCCAGACAGAGCTCATCGCGCTCACCACCTCCATCGGTGAGCCACTCACCCATCCCTCACCAGACACTCACCATCCACTCACCCAGACACTCACCCGACACTCACCATCCACTCACCCAGACACTCACCCAGACACTCACCCAGACACTCACCACCAGAAGCTGGAGCTCAGCAGCAGTCCACCACAAGCTCCAGACGGAGCTCACCGCGCTCACCACCTCATCGGCCACTCGCCCTACGCCCCACATCGGTGACACTCGCCTCCCCACTCACCCAGACACTCACCCACACACTCACCCAGACACTCACCCACACACTCACCCAGACACTCACCCACACACTCACCCAGACACTCACCCACACACTCACCCAGACACTCACCATCCACTCACCCAGACACTCACCCACACACTCACTCAGACACTCACCCACACACTCACCCAGACACTCACCCAGACACTCACCCACACACTCACCCAGACACTCACCCACACTCACCCAGACACTCACCACCAGAAGCTGGAGCTCAGCAGTCACCACAAGCTCCAGACGGAGCTCACCGCGCTCACCACCTCCATCGGTGAGCCACTCGCCTCCCCACTCAACACTTTCATCGGTGAGCTGCTTCCTCCCCCTCTCCCCAAATCTGTGTCTCTCGCTATACATCTCACTCTCTCTCTCCACGTGCTCTTTCTCCCTCTCTTTGTCCGCTTTTTTTTTCCCCCCGTCTCCCTTTCCGTGTAGAGGAGGTGAGGAGAGAACAATGTGTGTCTCTCTCTCTCTCTCCCTGTATCCCTGTATCCTCCCTCCTTCCCTCCCTATATCTCCCCGGGTCTCCGCTCCGACTCTCCATGTCTCTCCGTGTGTGTCTCTCTCTGCCCATCTCTGTTGCTCTCCGTGTGTCACTCTCTCTCTCACCCTCTCTCGTTTTCCCTCTCTCTCCCTGTTTCTCTTTAGCAGTGTCTTTTTCACCTTTACCCACTCTGTGCGTCTCTCCCCCTCTTTTTTCCTTTCCCCACCCCCTCTCTCCCTTCTCTCTCCCTCTCTGTAGAGGAGCTGAGTGCGGCGCCTGCTCTCTGCGAGGAGCGGAGAGCGGCCGCGTTGCAGCGCCTCCACTCCCTGGAGGAGCGACTCCAGAACGCCGAGCGGGACCGGCGCCACGAGCAGGAGGGGGCCTCTAGCGCCCTCGAGTTGGCACGGGGGACAGCCCAGAAGCTAGCGGGGATCGCCAGGGAGGCACAGCAGGTGAGGTGGTGGTGAGGGGGTGGGTGGCAGGTTGAGGGAGTGGTTGGGTGGGTAAATTAGGTGATGGGTAGGTGAGTTGGGTGAATTAATGAGTGGGAGGGTGGGTAGGTCAATTGATGGATGGGTGAATTAATGCACGAGTGTGAGAGTAAGCAAGCAGATGGTGCATGAGCTTTTGGGAGGGTGATTGGGTGAATTAAGTGGGTCATTGAGTGAGTGAACTCTAACCCCCCCCCCCCCCCCCCCCTTGCCAGTCTCTGTCCACTGTCAGGCTGGAGGTGGAGGAGCTCGAGAAGGAGGCGCTGGTGGGGCAGCAGGAGCTGCAGAGGCTGGAGGCGGCCACGCTCTCGCTGGAGGTGACCGTCCGGGAGCTCAGCGCCTCTGCTGAGAGCTTGCAGGTATCTACCTGCTCACTCGCCTACCCACACACTCACCTTCCCACATACTCACCTACCCAATCACTTTTTTTTTTTACCTGGAAAGGCCCACTGAGATTTTTTCAGACGTGACCTGGCCAAAGAATTATACCCCAATGCAGTGGCTTATTACGTGGAAATTTATAGTAGCCAAATACTCAATGCATATTTCTAAATGTGGAAGGAAGAACCAGAGGACCCGGAGAAAAATCCACGCGACCACTGGGAGAGAGACATGCGAATTCCATCAAACCCACAACCTCCTGTATACTGGGTGAGGTAGTTAACATCTTGCCACCCGAGTCGCCCTAATCCACCCCCGTGTCTCTTCTTCTGCCTGTGTGCCACAGGCGCGTGTCTCCGAGTGCCAGCGCCACGTGACGGAGCTCCAGGAGATGCTGCGTGCCCGCCAGGAGGCGCTGGGGGAGGCGGCGCGGGCGCTGGAACAGCTGCGGGCGCAGCGCGGCGCTGCCGCTCTCACCCTGACAGAGCGCGGGCACGCAGTGGGGCGACACCAGCGGGACGCCCTGGACAACGCAGCCAAGGTACCCGCCACTCACTCACTCAACCACTCATTCACTCAACCATTCACTCACTCAACCACTTCATCCCCCAATCACTCGCTCAACCACTCACTCAACTGCTCACTTAACTACTTACTCGCTCGTTTGCTGAACTGCTCTATCAACTGCTTGTTTGCTCAACCGCTCCCTTGCTCAACCGTTCGCTCAACCGCTTGCTCAACCACTCACGCTCAACCACTCGCACTCAACCACTCCCCCACTCACGCTCAATCACTCACTCACCCACTCGACCATTCACTCAGCCGCTCCTGAATCCCCACTAACCCCCTCTCTCTCCTCCCGCTCTCTCTTAGGTGGATCGTCTGCTCAAAGAGAATGCGTGGATCTCCACAGAGCGCGCTCTATTTGGCCGCCCCAACACGGCGTACGACTTCGCCGCCAGCGACCCAAGCGATGCTGCCCGGAAGCTATCGCGCCTGGAGCAGACACGCCGGCGGATGGTGCACACCGTTAACGAGAGGGCCATGAACCTGCTGGCCCAGTCCGAGGAGAAGGTGAGGGAGAGACAGGGGCGGGGAGAGAGAGGCAGGGAGAGGGGGAGATGAGAGAGGGGGACGAGGAAGACACGGGAAGAGTGAGACAGATCCTGAGACTCTGATCCTGTGTGACCCAATGACCCCAGTACGTGGACCTGATGAGGAAGAAGCGGATCGTGGAGAACGACAAAACCAAGATCTTCAGCGCCATGCAGGAGCTGGATCTCAAGAAGAATGAGGCTCTTAACCTGGCCTGGAGACAGGTACCACACTCGCCACTCGCTAACCACTCGCTCACCATGGAGGAGCTGGATCTCAATAATAACAAGGCTCTCTGGCCTGGAGACAGGTCCCATGCTGACCACTCATTCACCACCATACTCTCCAAGCACTCACTCACTATACTCACCACCCACTTACCACGGAGGAGCTGGATCTCAATAAGAACAAGGCCCTCCACCTGGCCGAGAGGCAAGTTCCACGTTCACCATTCACCACCATAATCACCATTCACTCGCCACCATACCAGTCTCTCTCCCCTCATCTCTCCACCCGCCCCCCCCCCCCGCATGCATCTCCCTCTGCCCGCGTGCGTCTCTTTCCAGGTGAATGGAGACTTCAGCTCCATATTCTCCACGCTGCTGCCTGGCTCCCAGGCGCGTCTCACTCCCGTGGAGTCCTCTTCCTCCACCTCCTCCACCTCCTCCACCTCCTCGCTGCTCCAAGGCTTGGAGTTTCGTGTGGCTCTGGGCTCCGTGTGGAAGGAAAATCTGAGCGAGCTGAGCGGAGGCCAGAGGTGAGGGAGGGGTCCCTGTCGGTTGTGTATATGTGTGTATCTGTGTATTTTTCTCGGTGCTATCCAGGTCCCTGGTGGTGCTCTCTGATCCTGGCGATGCTGCTACCTCTCGGCATATCTCTCTCTATGTTTATCTTTGTATCTCTCTCTCTCTCTGCTGGATAGGTCACTGGTGGCCCTATCCCTGATCCTGGCCATGCTGCTCTTCAAGCCGGCTCCGATTTACATCCTGGACGAGGTGGACGCCGCCCTGGACCTCTCCCACACCCAGAACATCGGACACATGCTGCGCACTCACTTCCTCACCTCGCAGGTACAACAACAGCAGCAGTTGCCAATCGCCATTAAGTGGCGATGACATCACCATGGCGCTTGTGCCAGGCTTCGTGCACTTTAACGCCACGATTACTGTGGAATGCCTGCCGGAAGGAGATCACAGGACGGAGCCAGGTGCTATGGGTTGACTGAGATGACTGGCAGATGCACCACCTGCATGCCCCTTCCTGTGCCAACTTGCTGTGTTTTAGCCGCCCGGCGCTCCGCTTTTTGTTGTTACTTTTCCCCTCATGGTGCTTGTAGCCACTACAGTGGCCAATGGGGGCACTGGATGGATGCAATCGGCTGGTAACCCCTCCACCTTCAATTCATTTACCACTAAATTACGTGAGAAATATCTGTCTGAGCTTTTGCTGGAGGCCCCAGTGGTACAGGCATCTATGAAGACTCGCAGGTACTCACACACACAACAACAACAGACGCCATTCGCCACTAAGCGGCGGTGACGTCGCCACAGCGCTTGTCAGGCCAGATGCACTCTGAAGCCTCGTGAAGTGTCAAAGGCTCGGCAATAGGTGACGGGACAGATGCAGGTGCCATTGGTTGTGCACGGGTGAAATTTGCTTTGCTCAGGCGGTGTTAGCCACTCAGGTTGTGACGGGGTTTCTCTCTTCATTCCTGTTGCCCTGGGCCCCCGGTACTGTTCCTGTTCTGATGTTATGAGCACTGATGCCTACTTCTTTGAGGGCGTATTGGCACGTAAAATAAGATCGATTGTTTGACTTGAGTTGACTGGCAGATGTACCAGCTCTACCCCCTACTGTGCCAAAGTGCTGTAATTTAGCTGCCCAGCACTCGGCTCATTGTTGTGAGGGTTGCTCCTCTGCTCTCCTCTGTTGTTGGAGGGTGACTACCTCCAACTGCCCAGTAGCGTTCTTCACAAGCATCCTCCACAGAGGCCGATCTTAACAGCACTTCAGCAAGTCTACCCAGCTGCACATCCTCCCGTACCTCATCACTCCATGTCTTTTTCAGCCCGTGTCGTGCCCGTTTAGCCCTATCTATGCAGCCAAATAGAAGCAACTTTGCCATGCGGTGGCTGGGCATGCGGGCTCCATAACCCAGCCAATGCAGCCTTGACCACCGGAGCTCACTGATGGGAATGTGTCCAGATCTTTCAAGGATTTGAGAGCTGCTCACATAATCCAGCCTTGTTAAACACAGAATGGATTGTAGGCAGGCCAGTCTGAATGTTTCTAACTGGTGCAGATGTTCCATTAGAGGGGTCCACGTTTCGCACTCGCCCACACACCTACTCAGTCATTCACTCCTACACCCAGAACATCGGACACATGTTGTGCACTCGCTTCTTCACCTTGCAGATACGCTCACATGCACGCTTACCCGTATACCCACTCACCCGTACATTCGCCTGCATAATCCCTCACCCGCACTATGGCTGGACTTCTGTGCCAGGCTAGGTGTTGGTCATGGGACAGACCCCAGGTGCTATGGGTTTGACCCACTGCTATCTCTCCCCATCTCTCTCCCCCCCCCTCCGTCTGTCCCCCCCCTCCATTTCTGTGTGTCTCCCCCATGTCTCTCTCTCCATCTTGCTCTCCCCATGCCCCCCCTCCATGTCTCTCTTTGTCCCCGTGCAGTTCGTGGTGGTCTCTCTCAAGGATGGGATGTTCAACAACGCCAACGTGCTCTTCAAGACGCGCTTCGTAGAGGGCGTTTCAACGGTGACGCGGCATACCAACGCCACCACCACCTCTCGACCAGCAGCCGCCTCCTCGTCCTCTACGAAGGGAAGGGGAGAGGCAGAGGAGAAAAAGGCAAAGAGAGGGCGACTGGGTGATGAGTAGAGTAGAGGGGAGGAGAGGGGGAGTGGGGAAGAGAGAGACGAGACTAATCTAGATTTGAAGTTTTCGTGACTGCAGGGATCCATACTCTTTGGTTCTTTCGGGAAAGTCACGTAGGTATAAAATAAAATAAATTAAATCACGACGTTTCGGGCGCAACACAAGCGTCCGTCATCAGGTGGGACAACCGCAGAAAGAGACAATTGTTGAAGTGGGCAAAAAGTCTGCTTGAGTGTAGAGACGAGACTGTCCCATCTCTCGTGTATGTTAGAAATCCACGTGGCATATACAAATGGATCGTCATACGACGTCTCTCCTGTCTCATGGTGCTATTCGTGAGAAATCAGCAGGGTATCTGTAAATGAATTGCTTTCATGTCCTTCTCTTTGTGGCTATGGCTGTGTCTCTAATGATGTCGGCGTCTATAATTAATGCTAGAATAAGTGTGGTATCTGTAAATGGATCGATCACTTGACAACTACCGGTCTGCATCTCCAGTTCTGTTTCTCTCGTTATTAGCAATCCGTGTGGTATCTGTAAACGGATCTCTGTCTTTCTCTCATTAGGTCTATTTTGTTATTAAAAGTCAATGGGATATCCTAAAGTGAATTGCTTTAATCTGTCTATTTCTAATTAGTTATCGATAATCAGTGTTGCCACTTCACAATAGAATAAATGTGATATATGTAAATGATTACTAAAAATGTGTATTAGGTATCTTAAATGTCAATGTGAATGTATCACTCTACATCTTCACTCACGTCTCTGCTTGTACAGGAGACCCTTGAATATCACGGGGTTACATTCTTGGAAAATGACGCAAAAGCGAAAATAATGAAGCCTTAACCTACATAATGGTTAGGCACACGGCAACCAAAAAGACTCATCGCAATTGAAATAATGTCTGTACTGTATGACAAATAAACAAAAAACTTAATTTAAATAAACGTGTAAAAACCCGAGACTAAAAACATTCCTAAACAATACTAGGTAGAAATACTGTACTTATCAATGCTCTAAGGCGGGTGGACCTTTGTTCCTACGACTGGGGAGCGAGTGTAACGGCATGAACCTGGTGACGCGCACACCTAACCCCCGTGACGATTATCTGAATCGGCCCTGTGCCTCCCCTAGGTCGACTCAGCCTTAAATGAGTACCTGGTGCGATGTGTAAATGTCACCAATGGGGAGACAAAGGCGGCCGGGCGTGGTGCTGGCAGTTCCGGCCTTCATAGGCGCTCACGAACAGCACTTGCCCCAACAGTGTTAATAGGCGACACGGGGAGTCTGCCAGATGCGAGCACAGCAAAGGTTGAGGTGCCACTGACTGCCTCATCCACCCGACATCACGCAACCAGACAATGATACAGTACTTCCGTGTACAGCATACCCGTCAAAGGCCAAAACTAACCCCGGCGACAGCTACATTGGTATTTACAGGTTGCCTGCGTTAGGTCTCCTGTATACTTGGTAGGGTATCTCTACACGGATCATTATACACCTGAATGTTCCATCTTCCCATGGGATTGTGTGTGGGAATGCCAACGGTGTCATGATTGGCATTTTTGGAGGAGGCTCGTGAAGGATGCTACCGTGATGCTCAAAACAACGACCGGAGTGCCAGGAGGCTAAAATACAGCAAGTTGGCACAGTAGGGGACACAGCTGGTGCCATCTGCCAATCAGTCAACCCATGGCACCTGGGTCTGTCCCATGACCTGTTGGTGAGCCTTCAACACTTCATGGCCTTAGTGTACCTGGCCTGGCACAGGTGCTGTCACTGCCACTTAGTAGTGAATGGCAACTATTGTTGGTTGAGTTGCGGTGAGGGATGTAGACGTGGTTGTGATGGATGCTGCTGTAGTTGTCTGCACACTGCAATAATAAACTGCTTTTGCAAAGTCTCCCCTTCGAGTCACTTGCTACATAACCCATTGGGGGGGAGGGGGGGGTGTTATGGGGTTGAGCTTACCAGGAGCTGCTCACTCAAGGCAGGGAGTGTGGAACAAAACGGGGGCAAATGGGTTGGTGGGTGTGAGTGCATGGGTGCATTGGTTCAAGCAGCTGGTTGCTGATACTGAAGCTGGTGCAGAGTTTGCTTGTCTTTGCTAATTGGATTCACACTACCAGATAGCATTGCGCACAGCTGACAGATTGAGTCAAAATATAATTTTATTAATTTGTCAAACATGGGAAGGATACTGTCTGCTATCCATCCTGTACACAAGTTAGTGATAATTATTTTATTATGTTTTATTTTATTATTTTTCTTCTACGTGACTTTACTGAAAGAACCAAGAAGATGACTGCCAGTTCACTTTCATCTCTCCACTCTGCCCTTCTATGCCAGGCCTTTTGTCAGCCTACTGCTGGGTCGTGGAGGGTAGTTATTCGACCATACTTCAGTACATTGGTCAGTTCGGCTTGGTGGAGGCGGGTGTTGCATTGATGCTGGAGTATTGTAGAGTAAAATGATGAAAAATAAATGTATTAATAGTACTCTATGATGTGCTGTGAAGAAGGGCCATTCCTGACAAATTGCCGCCATTTTTTCCTGTTAAGGCCACGGTGCTATTGACCAATGTGTTGCGTTGTGCATGTGCACATCACTTCGAAATGCAGCATCACCAAATAATTAGTCAAATAATGAGTTGATCTTGCTGACACTGCAGCCTTGGAGCAGCGTAAAGTGCCGTTTTTATACATGGTGGCCACCCATCCAAGCCTGATCCAGTGCGGGTTGGTGAAGGCGTGGAGCATAGATGTGGAGAGCATAGAGTTTACAGCACAACAACAAATGTTATCTGCGACGTAATGCCGTGGCATCGACCCTGTAAAAAAATAAAACTGTGAACTCCAGGTGCATGGAGCACGCAGGACACGGGTGACGATGCTGAGCTCGCGAGCGTGAGCAAACAAGTTGTGGAGAAGGCGATTCACCGGGCGGTGCAGCAATACATGCAGGAGAAGGAGCAGCCATCGTGAGCCAAGGAGATCAGGTGGAGCAACCTGGATCGTGACCCGACAGGACAGAGGTCAAAGATGGCCCAATGACGCTGCAGCCGACCCCACGCGGACAACTGAAATATCCTCCTCTTAATCGCGGATGTCCTGTATCGTTCCCGTACCGATCAAGAACAGACAGCAACCTTTGAGGAGTTATTTTTTTTATTAACAGGGGTGTCACGAAGCTTTGAACTTTAGCGTTGACTCCTCTGATGTGGTGGTGATAGACTTTCAAGTACTGCATCTGTTAAATATTAACAGTGCATTCAGGATTATTTGATCCAGATTTCTCTTTTTAATACAAGATGTCAATATCAAGGGTGTTGGTCAGATGATTTTAAACAATCCAGCAGTTATTGTTTGTATTAAATAATGGTATTTTAACATTTACCGTTTTATTACTGTATTACAATGCTTACCCTGCTATGTATTACATAATCACTGTCATACTAATTTACTGTCCTATGCCAATCCACTGCTCGATGAAGATCTCCACAAACCATGTTGGTCACGGGGAATGTTTGACCATAATTGACCACAACAGTCAGTGTGGGTTCATGCAGCGGAGCCTAGAATCAAACCGATTCATGTATCCCTGACCACTAATGTTAGCTGTTGGCTGGGAATCGAACTCAGGTAGCCAGGCTCATAGCACAACGTGTTAACCACTTGCTCCACTTCACCCACTATTCTTGTTTGTGGAAATTAAACCTGGAAATATTTATTACACGTTCAATGAGAATCAATTACAGTGTGTGCAATTAGAAATATAGTAGCCTGTATACAAACACATTCCTGCGGAGGGAGCTGATAGGAACGTTGGGTTGCTCGGTCAATGGCCTGCAGGGTCAACGGCGGCGTGGTGTATTCCGCAAATATGCCCGACTGTGAGGGCGGGCACAACTGGCGTGAGTAGGTTAAACGTTGAGTTTTATAAGGGCACCACGGGGTGACCAGCCCCTCCCCACCCAGCCCCACCCCCCACCCAGCCCCACCCTCCCCACCCAGCCCCTCCCCACCCTCCCTCCCCACCCAGCCCCTACCTGCACGACGAACGGACGGACACAATAATCCCCTGTGGGCTGGTGGAACCAGTGGATTCCTACCAGTATGATACATTTCACATACAGTGGTAGATTATAAAGCAATGTCATTGATATTTATTTTACATTGCATCTGTTCAAATCGTTATTCAATGACCAATTTATTGCACCGTAAACAAAATTAGGCTGCCTCTAACATATATATTCTGCCGTCAATACCAACATAAAAATCTAATTAATACGTTTAATCACAGAGGTTGAAAATACATTGGCATCGTCTACACTTGGATAACAACATATATTTAGAAAAGTGCCAAGACCAGCGTGTGGGAATGTAAATAATTAAACAGTCAAGAGTCTGTTTCATTGCCAAAAAAAAATCACTTTTAGGGCCATCAGCCAAACGTCCCCTCTCGTCCAATGTTTTCCATCAGTACTTTTAAGTACGCATCTCATCAGCAGTGTGTCTTCTTATTCCAGTCCCATGGCCTTTTGGACTCTTTCCCTCCACTGATATCTCCTTGCAGCAGCCTTTCCGCTGCTTTCCGCAGGTCGCTGCACCTTTCAACTGTACTTGATCCCGTTCGATGTTTTATGTGTAACGTGTAGTCAAATCGTGGACTTCCTCTTCGCCTGAGCACCTGCAAGTCTTCCGCCAATCGCCATCCCCTTGACAGCCGTTCACCAATTCTTCCTCTTCAATAGCAGGGGTGCGGCCGGTTAAAAACGAATTCTGCTGGGTTTACGTACTGTTATAGCCATCGTTGGGAGTTCGTTCCCCCCAAAGTAAAATAAAGAGAAGTATAATTGAAATTAATTGAATTTATTAACAGCTGAGTATGGTGTCAAAATTAACTGGGGCATGTGTGGTTAACAATTGCACTTAACGAATTTGGCCACTTGACTGAGTCGAGCGACCGGGTAT